GTTTAAATGGAAAAATTGTGACAATCATATCATATTTAATTATGATTCGGTGCTTACTCAACCTATCTTTCTTTCAGGTGTTGTCACTGGTTTGTGACTTTTGTAAGAAAGAAGTGGTCATCATGAAATCACAGTGCTGCATTGGTAAATACCATAAAGAGTGCCTCAACAAGTATGATGACAAAAGATGCCCTTACTGCCGGCGTCCCACGCAAGAGGGTGGTGGAAGAAATGGTGGTGGAGAAGATGACATTGGAAGCAATGGTGGAGGAAGAGGGAGAGGAGGAGGAGGAGGAAGAGGAAGAGGACGTGATGGTGAGAGAGTGGATGACAGAGGAGCTGACAGCCCAGGAGGAGGTGATGGCAGAGTAAGTGATGGCGAAGGAGGAAGTGAAATCATGGAAGGGGATGAAACTGACCGCAGTGGTGGAGGGGATGATGATGATGATGATGGTGGTGGTGGTGGAGGTTCACCATCAACCTCTCAACCACCACAACAACTATCTTACCCTCAGGTGTTGTTGTTAGCACACTTTTTTCCGGAACTTTTCCGTCCTCACTCAGGAGGTGATGGGGAAGGAGGTGATGTGGAAGGAGGTGATGGGGAAGGAGGTGATGGGGGAGGAGGTGATGGGGGAAGACGTGATGGCGGAGAAGGTGATGGCAGAGTAGGTGATGGGGAAGAAGGTGATGACGGAGGAGGTGATGGCAGAGTAGGTGATTGGGAAGGAGGTGATGACGGAGGAGGTGATGGCAGAGTAGGTGATGGGGAAGAAGGTGATGGCGGAGAAGGTGATGGCAGAGTAGGTGATGGGGAAGAAGGTGATGGCAGAGTAGGTGATGGGGAAGAAGGTGATGGGGGAGAAGGTGATGGCAGAGTAGGTGATGGGGAAGAAGGTGATGGCGAAGAAGGTGATGGCAGAGTAGGTGATGGGGAAGAAGGTGATGACAGAGGAGGTGATGGCAGAGTAGGTGATTGGGAAGGAGGTGATGGCAGAGTAGGTGATAGGGAAGGAGGTGATGGCAGCGTAGGTGGTGGGGAAGGAGGTGATGGGGGAGGAGGTGATGGCATAGGAGGTGATGGCAGAGTAGGTGACGGGGAAGGAGGTGATGGTGGAGGAGGTGATGGCGGAGGAGGTGATGGCGGAGGAGGGATGGCGGAGGAGGGGATGGTGGAGGAGGTGATGGCAGAGGAGGTGATGGTGGGGCAGGTGATGGCAGAGGAGGTGATGGCGGAGGAGGGGATGGTGGAGGAGGTGATGGTAGGGGAGGTGATGGCAGAGGAGGTGATGGCAGAGGAGGTGATGGCAGAGGAGGTGATGGCAGAGGAGGTAATGGTGAAGGAGGGAGTGAAATCATGGAAGGGGATGAAGGTGACCATGAAGATGGGAGGGATGATGATGGTGATGGTGGTGGTAGTGGAGGAGGGTCACTATTACCCGTTTACCATGATTTGCAAGGTATATGAAAAATTTTGTAGGTTTAAACTCTTCTCTTCTCGCACAGTATTCAACACCATTTTGTTAGAAACATGGGTAACCCCCCAAGACACAAAGCATTATGGTTATGTGCAAGTAGAGAATTAGAGTGTAACCAGTCCTTGAAATTGGTAATCCTCTTACAATCAGCCTTTTCACTTATAAGATTTTGGCGGATGGTGGCTTTCTTAGGATTGCAAATTATTAAGATAATACTTTTCAGCTTGTAGCATTATCCAATACAAACATTTAAGTTTCTTTGTTCAGAAACATGAAATGAACTGCTAGTATTACAAAAATTGACGAGAAAGCAATTTAGGGAATTTTCCTTAAAGTACCCACTTTCTAGGGCTGCTGCAGTCTCCTCTAGAGAGCAACAGTTTTGAAATAGTCTTTAAGTCGTGTAAATCACCTTCATACAGCATTAGCCATAATTCACCTGTGAATGTTTATTTCTTATTACTGATTTTAGAAATGGAAGATTCAAGAGAAATTCTTACTAACAATCAGGATGACAATGAGGTGGCAACTCATGGTAGAAGGCATACTCCAGTGGAAGGCATACATTGGGATCCCACTGAGGTGAAATGATGATAAAGAAGTAGATTGTATTTTAAACTCTTTTATAGTTGCCAATCATTTCCTGTGTGCTTGATTTATGAGAATTTAGTGTTGTAACCAAGTAACAGCCCAATCATACATGTATTTACAGGTTAACGCCTGCGGGTCATTAAGAGGTTAATAGTTTTCTGCATTTTTTGTCAATATCCCCTACATCACCTGTGATGTTATCTTAATACACGTAGTATGACAATTTAATTGCTATTTGCACGCACTATCAGCAATATTGTTACCATTACTTGTTTATACTGTTGTTACCTCACCCTCAACAGTTGTCTTCTTTTTTTGTCTATCTAGAGGCACACTTATCAGCTGCCAATTCAAGAAGAATTGGGTAAGTTGACGTCCTTGTTATAAACCATCTTATTTACGTGTGATTAGGCTATAAATGCCTTGTCTTTTGGTCTGGAAGCATGTTGCAAGGTAGTTTTCCCCTACCTCTTTCCATATATCTGATGTTATAATGCTAGAAAAATCTCAGAGAGCTTGGCAGAAACTTGTGCAAATACTGCATACTTCTGATTATGCTTTTTTAATTTTTCTTCTTTCTTAGAGCTCAGTATTTAGATGACCTCCCTGATGGAGCTTTGTGCTAGTCTTTAGGGTTTCAAGACAAAATCACTTTTGTTGTGAGTAAGCTTGTAGAAATCTAGTGAGATTGTGTCAGTGGTGAGCTGGGATATAGAATGTGATGGGTTTAATTAAGTTTATTAACGATTAGTATCGTACTGCTTCTGGGAGTTGCTCCTACTCGCTGTTTAATAAAGTAGTTGAGTTTGTAAGATTATAGTGTTTTTCTGTCGGTTAGATTATACCGTAACACTTTGCAGTGAAACCATTCAGTCGAACTCAGCTGCGCCTCAATCAATAAGGTTCTAGACAATGTAAAATTGTGGCCGATTTGTCTGACAAAAATGCGTTATGAAGTGTTACGTTCTCGATTATTTTATTGCTTGGACCTTTAACTCAGTGTTTGAAGAATTTGGATCTAGTCACTCTATGAATTGATTAGATTGATTAGATTGCTTAGATTGCTTTGCTTGCTTTGTTGTAACAGATCTCGAAACCTCCAGGAGCTCGTAAATGCGTTATTAAATTCGTAATTAAGTCTCGTGATCAATCAATCAATCAATCAATCAATTAAGTATATTTAAAGAGAGGAACACTTGACAGTAGTGAAACTAATGACCTCGTGGCCATAAAGCTTAAAATATAAAAACAAAATAAGCAATGATCTATACTACAAATGTTACGTACTGCAAAAAGCAATAAAAAAATTAAGTATAGGTCATATATCTCTATAGATATTTTTAAATGCAATACTATTTAGTGTTATTCTAAAAAGTAAATCAATAAATTGTTTTACTTAATAAAGAATTGTTTTAATTAATAAAGAAACTAAGATGGCGGCCGAAGTTGTTATTTTCTTTCTGTCTTTCCAAAAGAATGTTTATCAATCGCTTTATGAAACTTTTTTGTGTCCTTAGAGATTTTGAGCTCTTTATTTTGGTTATTCCAGTCTTAAATCAATCTATGACTGAGAGTGATCGCCCCCCTTTGGTAGAATTGTTGATGGGGCAGCGTAGGTTTTATTTGCCAAAGTGTGTATTTCTGGAGTTGACATCAGAATTCAGTTGAAGTGTAGATTTCAGGTGTTTTTCGAAGTGTTCTTTTGAGAAGCATTGTGCATCTGTTGACGTATGCGTCTTGGTAGAAGGGATCTTAATAAGAAGTCTATTTCATGTATTATATAACCTCTTCCCCCCCCCCTTGAATCAATTGAGGGAATAAAGGTGCCCGTCAGAACTTGTCGTGCTTACTTGTTATCCCAAAGTCATACTCAAAAATCTATCGTTAAACAGGTTAAATTAATCCTGCTTAAATTTCGATGGAATTTGTGTTAAAGTTTTCGAAGCGTGAGTCACTATTACAGAAAACAGTCGTCACGGCTACTCTCACTTGGAAGATCAGAAGATGAAAGGAATCTTGCTTTCTTATGTTGAAATCGGAGGATTAAATACTACAAAAAAACTGAAGGCAAATAGATTTTATGTTTCAGCTTTTCACTGTAGTATTAGACGCCGTGATGATAAGGGACACTAACAATTGCACATTCTTCGTAATCAAAGTGAAACCCTTTGCCTCACAATCTTACAAACTGTACTGAAGTGAGCTCTTCAGGAATCTATCAAGGTCGTTCCTCCATGTAAGGGGGAACTTTTTGGGAGTGAAGAGAACAAACAGACCAAGTTGTTATGTGGCAACATTATACATACTTCTCCACACAAATATCATCGTTTGACCGAAACACACAAAAAAATTTGATACAAAAGATACTTTGATTACAAGTTTGTTTAGTTTTGCAAAAAACTTTTTGAAGTGATCTTCAATGGCGCAAGAAAAATAAGCCAATCGGCGGGAAGAGCATTCAGTCACGAGGATTCGCCCCCCTTCAAAAAAAAATAGACGGAAACGGAAGGCGCGTAGTTAAAAATTGCCCTCTACTTACTTAACAGAATAAAGTTTGAATTGAAACAGAAATTAAAAAATTGGCATCACCATGTGGAAGAGAACTGAAGACAACAGGTGCGTGTATTAATGTTCCAAAACCGTTTTACTTTGTAAAAAGCAACACTTATGAGCGCGCGTTACAAGGAAAGTGCACATTGCAAAGATTCGTTCTATACTGTAAAAGGCATTTGTCCCTTGCTTGGTTATGTGTTTATAATTACTGGAGAATATTTAAAGAGTTGAAAAGCTCCTCTGTACGATAATTCGTTTAGGGTTTTTTTTGTTGTTGTTGTTGTTGTTCGTTGACCTTGCCAGAAAACGGTAAAATTGGTTGGCTTACTTGTTTGTGAGTGTTTAAATAAAACAATGTGCCACCGGCGCCGTAAACTACGGTAGCTTCAAAGGGGCATGCACTTTTCTCTCTCTTTTTTTTCCACTTGCGACTTAGCTGCTACTTTCTTGCGACTTGTTTCTTTCTTGCGACTTCGCTGCGACTTTCCTGCTACTTTCTTACGACTTAGCCGCGACTTGCTACTTTCTTGCAACTTAGCTGCGACTTTCCTGCTACTTTCTTGCGACTTAGCTGCGACTTGCTACTTTCTTGCGACTTAGGAGCACTAAGCTGCGACTTAGCTGCGACCTAGCTGCGACTTAGCTGCGACGTAAATGCGACTTTCCTGCTACTTTCTTGAGACTTAGCTACTACTTTCTTGCGACTTAGCTACTACTTTTTTGCGACTTAGCTACTACTTCCTTGTGACTTAGCTGCCTGGCTACCAAACTGGGCCACGTTGACAGCAGGCCGGGTTGCATTGCCGAGAAACAACATGGATTCTCCAGAAGAACAGTTACCGGAGGTCGACCAGGTATTTTGACATTTTTTCCTGTCTTTCGTCGTCGAAGTAATAAGGATAGTGCTGCACATCACAATAGGGAATTAATTATTCCTTTCTTGTTTTATATTGAAAACGAAGAAGAAATAAAGTTGATTTTAATTAGTATTTTCAATTGTTTTAGTTGCTCAGCTCGGTATCCAGCTTAGAGAAAAAGATTACGACATTTGATCTGACCAACGATAAATACCTTACGATGTGCATTTGAGAACACTGAATATTCTGCGAACCTAAGACAGCCCAAAGGCCACATAGAAAGCTTTGTTTTTGCGTGTACCAAAAACATTGTTCATGCTGGGTAGCCTGTGAACAGGAATGAAATTAAACCATTCTTTTATGGTATGGCATTAATGTGGTTCAGTAAATCTAAGTAGAGTTGGAGAGCTTCCTCTGCTGTTGTAGCTGGTTCTAGACCTTCATCCTCCATGATTGGTTCGTAGAGCTTTTTAAACTAAGAACAACATCCTCTCGCTCGTAGTTGCTCAGCACACGTATCTTCTGCGATTTTAATCTCGTCGATGTCAACAGGAGTCATATAATCTTGACTCTCTGCTGATGCTGGAACGAAGTAGAGTACATCTGGCTTTCCCAAAGGAGATTCCACATTGCTAGACGGCCAGAAATCCGTGACAGCATGGCCGCCACGCACACGCATCGATGTCGAACTCGGTCTTAGGTTACAAACGAGTCGCAAAATCACTACAAGGAAAATAGTGCACTTTTAGCTAACCTTCTTTTAATAATTGCTTCTGTGTTACAACCGTCAGAGGAGACAAGTTCTTCCATATCGCAAAATAAAGTGGATTATTCGTACAACCTTTCGCTGCGTGCTCTATGTGCATTTGCGTGTGTTAAAGCGGTTCCCGAAGCAATTTTTTTTGGACGTAGAAATCCTCGCACTCCGCCATACATTTCTTAATAACTGTCCAAAAGTAGCTTAAATTGTCGAAAATTACCTCACTTCGCTGGTTCATAGGAATATTCTTCCAGATCGAACTGATTAGTTTACATGCTAAACTTCATTTATAATGCAAAATTAGGAGTCATTGAGGCCACTAAATCGGTTCCAAACTTGGTGGAAAAACAGCCCAAATACTACTGAATAGTTCTCAATGTGACGCCATTTTAAAACCCAAAAATTGTGCAATGGCGTTACACAATCTCCGAAAATTGCAAGTAAAATGAGCGACGAATTTAGTCAATGTTGCTCGCGTTTTAAGGATGCAATCAGATTCACTCAACCGGAATTAAGATATGAGGCGAGGGAAAAAGAGAAAAGAGTGCTTTTTACTTTGGAAATTCCTTATCCTCTTTTAAGAGAATGGCATAAAATTGTTCAAGAACGAACGGTTCTGTCGCGTGACACTTCCGGTCAAGATTTGTCAAGCGGATGTGAAAAGATAAGGGCAAATTCTCCTTCTACAAGCGCAGCAAAAAACTCACCCACGGCAAAAAGGTTCAGCTACATAGATTTGGTGGAAAAGTGCACATTCGGGCAATGCTTTGCCTTTAGCGATGATGAAAATATACGAGATGTAATTGATGAAGCTTTGTTAAATATTGCTTATAAAATGTCATTAGATTACAAAAAAACTAAGAGCAGGGCAAGAAAAGAGTTGGATAATCGAGTCCGAAAGTTTCATGTTATGGAGGGTCAAACAAAGCCTGTTCATGAACTCTATCAAGAAATTGAAAACATACAAAATGAACTACAAGATTGGAAAAAGGCCTATGAAGATTTAGAGTTGGAGAAAGAAAGAATCTATGAGGAAACGGTGCAGGCAGTGAGCCAAAAGGAAAATGAAACCCAAGTTTTGCAGAAAACAAACAAAGAGCTCGAAGATTATATGACATCATTGGAAAAATACTTTCATTTTCTATTCTGCAAACAGAGGAGTCCGTTATGTCTGCAAAAGGAAACAGAACTCTTGGCATAGTCAATGGAACCGAGAGTTACCACACAATAAAATAGTCATTCCAGAGTTTATTCAATGAGGTAAATGACTTGACTGCCACAGGTAATGATGATGGATGGATGGATGGCCAAGAGGTTAAAACTGAATTCTATCTTGGTGATGATTATAAATTTATTTTACTAATGCTTGGACTCAAGGGGGCAACATTCAATTATGCTTGTGCCTAGTGAAAAACACACAAAAATAATCGCTGAAGAATCAACAATGACTACACAAGTTACAACACTCCCCCCTCAGCAAGAACACTGAAAGAAATTTCTGAAATGTCTAAAAAATCTAGAGAAAATTACTGTTGTGATAAACAACCTATATTAAATATCCCACTGGATCATATAGTGGTAGACGAGCTGCACTTAATGCTGAGAATCACAGATATTTTGATTGGAAATCTAGTGCAGGAGTGCCTAGACTGGGATAAAGATGATGACTTAGACCATAAAAAGGGGGCAGCAACAGGGTTATACCTAAAAAGCCTTATTAGGGTAATCAAATCTTGTGGTGTTTCTTTTGATGTGTGGGAACAAAGAAATGCAGACGGGAAAGGTAGCAGGAAACATGACTGGACAAGTCTCCTAGGAAAAGACAAAAAGGGCATTCCCCTCCAGTGCAGCGCTGTGTAGTTCACTTTGTATGACATCCAAGAAATAGAACTTCAAGCATACGCGGTGTATAATATCATCATCGTAATACAAACCAGAATCTCTCAAGTCTTTAGAAAAGTAATCCACCCTTCTGCACATCCTTGCTTTAAACGTCTTCATCATGCTTCAATTCTTTGATTTGCCGTAGATTTCCCATACATACATGAAACTTTTATCACTTGGAAAGTCGTCATTCATGATCCGCCGAAAGAAGCGCTGAATAGCTGCTAAGTTCCCGTTCTCAGATCCCCTATCTCCACGCACAATCCTTGCTGTACCTCCTAACTGTCTTGCGTAGTCTAAGAAATATTGAGCTACTATACGAGGATCGTTGTTTGAAGATGCAACCTCCAGCCATAGGATCCTTCGACTAAAGCCATCAATTGCACCATGAATGAAGAATCCAAACGGTTATAGTTTGTTGTAGCCGTCAATGTGCCATAAGTAATTTGGCCCTTTACACCTGTAAATTCTTCGTCGTAATCTATGTTGTGACCTATGCTCTACCCCTTCAGGATCAAAAACCCTCAAAACATGTTGAACGACTTTCCGCGTAGTAACAAGACCGTGCTGATTGATGAGTCTTTGATGCATCGCTCGATATCCGAGAAGGCTTCCACTCCCCCCTCAGTTCCTCCTCGATTGCTTCTACCACCTCATGCATTCAAATTACTTCGACGCCGACGTCTTGTACATCCCAACCGTCTGAGTATTCTATTAAATTGTCGTAACGAGATCCCGATACCATGTACACTTACGAGAAATAATGTGATTTCTGGTGCAGTAAGCCCGAGATTAAAATAATTCTTGATTATCTCGTCGCGCATTACTGCATTGTTCCTTATTGCCGGAAAGTAAGATGGAAGCACTACCAGCGACGTAGAGCGCATCAAAATGAAAGTGAAAAGGGCGAAAAACTTCATAGCTATACTGTAAAGCCAAGGCAAAACAGACTACCGATTATTGGTAGGAGTCCACGTTGTTTTCAAATAAAACAACCTGGCCTGCCGACGTACGCGGCCTAGCAAAGTGGCAAGTCGCAGGTAAGTCGCAAGAAAGTAGCAAGAAAGTAGCAGCGAAGTCGCAAGAAAGTAGCAGGAAAGTCGCAGCGAAGTCGTAAGAAAGTAGCAAGTCACAAGAAAGTCGCAGCTAAGTCGCAATAAAGTAGCAGCTAAGTCGCAAGTGAAAAAAAGAGAGAGAAAAGTGTGTGTTCCTTTGAAGCCACCGTAGTTAACAGTATTCTCAAAGGAAAAGCCTTGCGAGAACTGCTTTCGGTAATTCTAATTGTAAAAAAATAAAAAATACTGGTAATTAGGGGACGGGGGTAATTAATGTGAATGGCTTTTCAGCGAAGCTTTCATTTCAAATGCGAATTGTCGAAAAGTCATTGAATTATTTTGTCAGGATACTTATGGTTCGGCTTTGTTCTACATGCAAAATATTTTCGTTTTCTCAAGTTCAACAGCAAAATATTAGCAACAAAGATGAAGTAAGGCAAGGCTTGTTGTGAGTCATATCCTTGATTGTTTTCCCATAGCTGAGTCCACAATTTTTTAAGTACTGCTGTCAAAAAACCTATATGTAATGAAGACTGTCTATTTTTTCTACACCATTTTCTTATCAGTTTTTGTGGGTCACCATCGCACAAACTTCTTTACGGAACATCATCGAAAAACCGAAACACACAAAAAAATTTGGCTCAAAACAAACAATACAAGTTTTGAATGCACTAGAAATTTAGTTTTGCATCACAAAAGAAAACCTCTGAAATGACCGTTAATGACGCAAGAAATGAAACAAGCCAATCGTCGGGAAGAGCATTTAGTCACGTGGATTCGCTAGAAAAACAAGTCAGATACGGCGCGCAGTTTAAAACTTTCAAGTATGCACTCACTTGACGGACAATGTTTGGAAGCACTTTTGAGCAACTCATTAAACATGAAACAGAAAATGAGAAAATTCCCATCGCCTCAAGGAAGGAAACTGAGGTCAACAGGTGCATGTATCAATGTCACAACACCGCTTGTACTTCGTGAAAAAAACACTCGTGATCCACGTGTAACAACTCAAGTGCGCACTGCATGGCTTCGGGGGCAAATAGTTTTTCGCTTGTTTAAGTGTTTGCTAGGGAATATTTTGAGGGGATAATAGCTTCTCTGTACGATAATACGTGTAGCTTTTATTTTCTTCTAGTTTTGTTGTGCATAAACCTTGCCACAAAAAAGTAAAGGTTGGCGTGCTTGTTAGTGAATGTTAAAAGAGAAACTATGCACCGCCGGGGATTGAAACAAGTATTCTCAGAAGAAAACCTCTATTTTCAAGAATTGCTTTCAGTAACAGCTATCTTGTAGAACTATGGAACGAATTTATACGATTTATATGGTAATAAAATAAAGACATGTATTAACACACAATCAGCGAGACCTTCTTTCAAGATCTGAGATGTGCCTGAAAGGATCCGGAAATATATTTTCCTAGGGATTTCCTAATTATAACAAACAATTACTCTCAAATGATGCTGATTTAAATCCGCAGAGATCGCAAAGATTAATTTTTGTGGAAATTTCCGTTGAATAAGCCAAACTTCGGAGAGAAAGAAACGCACCTCAAACAGTTTTGACATTTAGGGGTAAAAAGACTTTCTTCAAATGCGTGTGCTAGTCAACTAGCAAAATAAAATAATTGAACAGATTTGTCTGCCAAAAAGAAAAGGATAGTTTGAATTCCACAAAGGGAATGTTCTGAAAATATCATAACGTAACGTCCAGCCCACTCTGGCATTTGCTGCGGTATGTTGTGTGGTTTAATTTTTAATTTCTTAACATTTTGGTCGCCCTTGCTTGTTTGTTCTTTCATTTACTTTTATTTTTCTCTTCTCAGTTTCAATTTTACCTGGTCCTTGAGAAATGCATTCTATTTCAATTACGTGCGTGGTTCAGCTGCATCCTCTCCGTGCAAGACAAGATCTGATTTCAGAACCAGTTTGACTCTGATGGGGACATTTTAAGATATAGTGAATTAAAAATTGAGAAGATGAGACCATTTATGGTTTCTTTTCATCTCTTTCCAATTTCTTCTATACCTTACAATTTGCTCTGACGGTCAGATGGGAAAGAGTCAGTAAGAAGACACTGATGGAAGACAAACACTCCAGGTCAGAAAGCTCCTTGTGGTTTGGGTGGAAGGGTTATTTTAAGTGCTCTGGATGAATCTTGCATCAAATTTCGGCAGAAGTTTGAGGACTTTATCCGGCTTAATTTTCCCCAAGGAAATAATGAGTGTTGCCGCCAAAATTATCTCGCGTTTTTCTTTTTTTGATGTCATCCTTTTTTCTATTCTTTGTTGCTTTTTCATTGAGTTCTTTTGTTTTTATGGACATTACTGTCATCGATATTATGTTACCTTATTTTGCACAATTTTTCTTTGTTTGTGTCATTCATATAAGTTCTTTACAGCAAATTTTATCAATTCGGATTTATCGTTTAACTGTGATGGATCATTTTCCTTATTCTCTTTAAATCGTTTTACATCGTCTATAACCAATAATTTGTCCCCCGATCTCGTACAACGTCTGTAAGTGTCTTTTATTATCCTTCATTTTCGATTTCTACACGTACAATTGTAGCAACTTGTAATTTGTTATCCTATTTTAGCAACCATTTCAAATGTTCATTTCGCTCTAATAATTGGGTTTATTTCGTTTGAGCGTTGAAACGGCCTGGTGTCCAGGGTTTCTCTCCTTTGTCTTCCAAAGCAGAGGCTTGGATTCGAGAGAAGACGGTCATGTGAGTCTTCACGTGACTAGCACTGCTCCATAATATTTTGAAGTACAGAGAAACACCACGCGTTGTCGGAAAGGGTCGATATTTCAGAAGCGGGGTAGCTTGTCAAAATTGCAGAAAATGTATGTTAAGATCCAAATCTAGTTAGCCTCCTTTATATTTTTTTTATAGAGCGTCGAATTTAACGCTGAGAATCTGTAAATCCGAGAAAAAACGACGTAAATGTTCCATGAAGTATTAGCGAGTTATTGAATTTCTTACGACGTCATAATTTACTTTCTTGCTTTTTCAGAAAATGGAAAATTCGAATGAAAGTCAAGATCAGATGTCCACCTCACCTACACCGACGGGCTCCGCTAGACGTCCTGTAGCAGTAGAGAACATACACGTAGAATTCACAGTGGTAAAAAAATTAAAACCTTTCAGATTTAGATAAGCTTAACTTTTCGTAGTCATAAAAAGGGGGTAAGTTTCTGAAGAAACTGTGGTGCTGCGTCGGTGGGAGAGTATAGCAGGTACTTTAGTGTTAACAACTGAGTTGAAAACGTTAATTGGCCACCGTAAAGGGTAAAAAAGTTAACGTTTCGAGCGTTAGCCCCTCGTCAGCTATAGCTACTCACTGACATGCGTCGTCCCTCAGGGTACCATCCTCGGTCCATTATTGTTCTTATTATATATTAACGATCTTCCAAATTGCTTATCAAATTGTAAACCAAGAATGTACGCTGACGACACGCACCTTACATATGCGGGCAGTAATCTTGAGAATGTTCAGTTTTGTCTAAATGAAGACCTAGCAAACGTTTTCAACTGGCTACAAGCAAACAAACTTACATTGAACATGACCAAACCGAATTCATGCTAATAGGGTCGAGGCAGAGACTGAATACTCTCACAGCTTCACCAACAATTACAATGAACAATACTCAAGTGAGCCAGGTTACAGCTACGAAATCGCTTGGTGTAATAATAGACGATAAACTCAATTGGCATAGTCACATCGAAAAATTAACCAAAAGATCGCCTCTGGTATCGGGGCCCTAAAGCGTATTAGGCACCTGATCCCAGCATCAACCTTACATCTCGTTTATCAAGCCTTAGTAAAACCTCACTTTGATTACTGTGACATTGTTTGGAGTAACTGGGGGAAAACGCTACAAGACAAACTGCAGAAATTGCAGAATAGAGCAGCCCGTGTGTTGACATTCTCTAACTATGATGCTGATGCAACTGAGCTACTCGAGTTTTTAAGGTGGAAAAATCTTACACGCCAGCAGGAAATTCACAAAGCCACCATGATGTTTAGATGTCTGCACGGGCTAGCTCCAGAGTATCTGTGTTCAAAGTTTACGTGGTGTGACTCTGCTTATGACCTCAGGGACTCTGAAAATAAGCTCAATGTTCCCTTACCGCGCACTAGTTATTACCGAAAAAGTTTTAGCTACAATGGCGCCACATTATGGAACAGTCTACCATGCGATATAAGGAACACAGAGTCTCTTGGGATATTTAAACGTAAGATCAATGACATTCTTTAAGTCTAACGCATGGCACTCACGGAAAACAGCTTTTAGTGTTATAGTATATAGTTTGAGTTTTAAATATTCTAGCGTATGTGATATGTATTTTTTAGGCTGATGAATTGACCGTGTTTAAATAAAAATAAAATGAAATGAAAATGAAATGAAATGAAATCAGAGTGATTGGCGCAGTTCTCCATGGGACACACAGACATCCTAGGAGACCTAGGAAATGCAGAACTTTTGATATCAAATGCATATGTTCTCAGAGACCTGAGGAAAACCTTGTTAGATTGATGAGAAGCAATATTAAGTTACATTGAACGTAGTCTCTATGTGAAAAAATGCAGTACTGTAAGGATGTTAAGATATGATTTTTAATAGCTGTTTGTTTGTTTTTACAAGCTTCTGAATGCTGCTGGCGCTGATCAAGCATCAAACGAGTAAGTTGGGTATTATTTTGGTTGATATCTGCTTTATGCTTCTAACAACTAATAATTTTCCAAATATGGTAAACACTTGAGAGAAAAGTTTAAAATAAAATTACAATAACCTCAGGTGATATCTGTTTAGTTAATTTTGCTGGACGAAATAATCTGTTTTGTATATATCAAATTATTGTGATATTGACATTGCCTAATGGTCTCCAAATACCACAAAATTAACTACAAATCACTTGGAAATAACTCAGTGCAGTCTTTTAGTTGTATTTAAGTGTATACTGCCTTTTTTGCACTTATTGACATATTTAATAAACAAATTACAGTGGCTGAAAATATCTGTCCTCAAAGGAGATATATTGTTCTCAGCAAAGATGGAAATTGTTTTTACCGAGCTGTTGCTCTTAGAAGAGATGAAACAGAATGAGAAACAGAAGGGGATCAGCCTGTCAAGTCCCAGTTTGTTTCAGAAAAATCCTAAGGTTTTTGAGCTGCCACTCTTTGCTATTTTCAACTACAAATACAGTCACTGTTTCTTCAACACTAAAATTTTCTACAGTGATTTTTTTGGCTGATCTAACTTACTAATCATGGAAGTTTACTGTAACTGCACAATTCCTTTTAATGCTGTGCTTGGTAGCCAACATATCTCATGGAATCACCATAGGCATCTTGTTAAGATTAATTTCTTATTAATATCTTTATTTGTATGCCATATATGCTGAAAGCAGAACATATATTTTTTTGGTTTAATTGAAAAATAATATGTATCAAACCTTGCTTATTTTAGTACTTCTCACAGTATTAAAATAGTTCTTCTATCCATCTGGGTGAAAAACAAATGGGATTGAAATTAAACTATTTTTTTAGTTATAAATGCATTAGTGAATCTTTGTTTTATCAAATTTTTGTTCAAGGAAATCTATTATAACATGTCACAATGAAATAATCTGTTCTGTTTGTATGACACTCAAGTACCGTGTATTGGACAAACCCACAGCCATTTTTAAGCTAGTGTTATACCCCAATCAGATAGAGATGCAGTAATAAAAATATTAATCACTATTTTTGTTGTTTGTTTTTAGCCCTGGTGATGTTGTAGCTCCTCTTGGCCCTGGTTTAATTGGGGATATGAACTGTGAAGAGGACACGGAAATAAGACAACAAGAACCACAAGTTAACGGAAACCAACTTCCAGGTATTTGAAGCTTTATGATGCTGTGAGACACAAAGCCAAATAATAGACAGGCTGGATACTGGGTTAAAAAGGGTGGGTTGAAGCATATGTTAAGGTCTAAATAACTTACTTAATCCTCATTGCGTGTCCTTTGACTTAAGGCCTCAGTTAGGGAACGCCATCGATATCTGTCAGTTGCCAGGTGGTCAAACTGCCCTCATGTCCAGCCTTCATCGCTCATTTCCCTTCCTGCAATTCTCCTCCAAGTTTTGAGTGAGAAACATATGGGAGTCCCTTACAGGCATGCCTGTGACTCTCAGTTTCCGTTATCATTTATCCACATCCATATGTCCTATATACCATAAATGCCTTCTCCAGGGAGACATGATTGGAAAAACTAATAATGAACCAAATGAAGCCAATCTTCTTTTGAATAACTTTTGTTAAATTAATTCTGGCATAACATGTAAACAATTGCATGTAGTTATAAAATTTTAAAAAAATTGTCAACTCCATTTGAACATAAAGGAGGTCTCTCTGTATTTATTTACATTATTAAGAGATAATTATTTATTTATCTACTTTTAAATTTTTGGTTGACTCAAGGCATTAACATTTGTGATGTTGTTATCTCATAGTTTGCTCTAGGCCTCAACCATCAGAACATGAAAATGTGTCATTAAAACAACCACAAGATGGAGAAAAGGTATTGTAAATATTACAAGTGTTTGATTGTAATGTCTGAGACCTATATGATGAGGAAAAGGTATGTAAATATGAAGGCCATATGCATGCAAACTTTATATGAAGCCAACTTATGCATGTAGCTCTGTAGCTACAAGTAGGCTATTGATCCTTTAGCTATTTATTTGTAATGATATTAAGTGGTAAATTTACCTTTAATTTACCTCAAACTTGAAATTTATAGTAATTTTTTAGTCATTAGTACAGAAAAAAGCCCAATTAGGCGGTTTGAGTTTGATAAATAATATTGCTACAAGGTGAAAAACTGAATTTAAGTTGCCATATTGTCTGACATTGGACATTGAGTACCCTCACCTTTTCAATGGCATTGCAGCTATTGTTAACTTAAATGTGCAAATTCAGACCAGGCTGGTCCAAGGTTTAATACACTGATACTCAAATACAAGCCATTTACTGAAGAAGAATGTATGATAAACTTTAATTTTGACAGAAATGTTACTCTGTTTTTCTTTGCTTATTCAGTAAATTAATCAGCCTTGAATAGTTGTGTTTTCATGGGAGCTGTTGCTTTTCTATTCGTGAATAGGGAAATAAGATTTCCCTACTTTAAATACATATACTTTTTGAGGCAAAATAAGAAGTTATTGCAATATTTCTTTGAAAGAAAAAATCAACTTTTACCCTTAAGATTTTATGAACTTTTCATTTGTTTTTTTATACTATAATTGTGATTTTTGCCTGGAAAATGTTCAGGTGAATGGATGCTGCCAAAGAACAGCACACAAGGAGAGTTTACTGGCATGTGGTTTGAGCCTTGCAAATTGCAACTGGTGAGTATAAAAACATTGATTTGCTGGTTGATTCAAAATTGCAAAATACACGGAAGCAAACATATAAAACATAGGTGATTCAACTGTTCTTTAGGGAATAACTGTTCCAGAAAACAGTGCCCATGTCTATGTTGATTGCACATTTGGCTTGTCTACATAGAAGTGAATACTTCACAAACCCAACAAAACTCTACACTGCCATATCAACAATGACCAGATAACTCTAGTGGTAGTGCTGGGTGAAAATCCTTGGGTCATGGAAATCTCAGCATGGAGGAGGAATGGGGCAAAAAGTCTTACTATTTTTTTAATATTTTATATTTTCTGTAATAGGTGTGTTTGTAGTTTGTCCTGTACTCATTGACTTTTAATGTATATTAACCCATGATTTATGGTAATAGCTTCCAAAGAGAGAGGACTATCAACAGGATTGATTATTCAGGTATGTGGACTATTCTAGCAAATAAATATTTTTCTTTTACAGTGCCGAAGAGACAGATTTCATCGGAATTTTTAATTACATTTTTCTTACAAATCAACTCTAGCCTGGAAATTAGCAAAAGCTTTTGAGATTTACTGAACTGCAGTTCTCTGAAGTGTTTAACTAAGAAAGCCTGAAGCTTTCTATCAAATTGTTCGTGAAAAATTAATATCAATTCTCAAAAATGCAGCCTGGTCAAACCAACAAATGCAACTCAAGGTATTAGCTTCTTCATTCCCCAACAAACCGAAGTCCTAAATTGGTCCATATTTTCAAATATGTTCAAAGATGACCAAACAGTTATGTTTTTGATGCAGTTCCTAAGTGAATTTCATAGAGTTGTCCCTTTTTTCAGCTGATGCTGACATTTTCCCAGTAGATTTCTATCATGTAAATTTCTCTGTTTTCAGGAATCTGTTCATGTGACTGGGAAATGTATAGAGAACAGTATGGATAATATGTATACTGATGTTAGGGTGTAAAGGGTTTGTGATATCATTTCTTGTTTTTGTTTAACACAGCTGCTTCAACATCAGCATCTAAACAACCCACAACTAATGATGATGACTCTGGAACATGGGAAAATCACCCTCTGCAGACTTTCTCACAACATTCCAAGGTTTGATTTTTGAAATCCTGTTTTTGTTCTAGATGGTTAAGTCAACTGTAAAAGAGTATTGTTTAATTGCAATCAAGTCAGCAGATATTTTTTTCAAAAGTATTGAGTGACAAGAAACTATTATCACTGGCCAAATGTAACAACAAGATAATTTAGTATTACCAAGTGAGTTGATAAATGTAAATTGGCCACCAAAAAGGAGTTAAAAGCTGACGTTTCAAGCATTAGCCCTAATTGCCCTTTGCTCTGACGAAAGGCTAATGCTCAAAACATCAGCTTTAAAACTCTTTATGGTAACCACCTTACATTATCAACTCGGCTAATAATACTCAATTACCCTGCTCTACTCCTATTTTTCGCAAACAGGATATAGATAACTGGCAATGAATTGCTGCCCTCCTTAAGATTCCTCCATTCAAAACACTAGTAAGAGTCTAAACTTTGCTTTTGACTTTACATACCCAGCTGTCTCTTACAACACAGATTGATCAGATTTTCAAAAGTGGGAAGAAAGAATGTGCCTTTCAAGATTCTTAGTAAGCATGATACATATCCTGAGGGCCATAATCCGTCATTTATAATTAAGTCCTAGACACATAACACTGAATTTGTGAACTCCATTATTTGTCAGTTAAATGTAGAAGATTAAACAATGTGTTTGTGTTTCATCGTGATCAATCCAATTTGATTGAAAAGAAAGCCATATCAGTTGCTTACAAATATTTGGGTCACATACAAAAGTTATTGTAAGGAATCAACTGAGCTAACTGAGGAAGAGCCCAAAATTTAAGCAAGGCAGGCTGTGGTCCTTCAATAAAAATGCAATAAAAAGAAATTCTCCCGTTTTCTTCCTTCAGCCATGGCTGGAAGTAAAATGATAAGATAAAGGTTTAACCACCAAACAAACCCAGACAATCCTGTTTTGTTCACATTTGTTTTCATATACATGACTACTTTGAAGCTTGTAAATTATGGGTAGATTTTCAGGCTAGGGACACCCACTTTCATAGAAACAATGCAAGAAGCCAGTCTGATCAGACCAAACAAACAAACAATCAACTGAATAAGAATTTGGTTAGTATTCAATTTAGAAATGCTCAGTCAGTGTTAGCTAATCAAGGCCAAGCCATGGTGGTTGAAAACCTAAAGTCATTTCATTAACATAATTAAAAGACAAACTTTGATGTAAGGTTTTGACAATTTTTTTTCAATTTTTAGTGCAAAACCTCCTATGGCTAAAGTTCCAGAAGAAGGCCTGTTCCAGACTACAGGTGTAGTATAACATCAAAGAACTGGTTACAAATCAGTCAGTATAAAAAATTATTATTTTCCCCATAACAGTGGGACTTGTTGCTTCATGATTGCCCTTATTCACTTCCATCTTTTGTTATCTCCCCTCTCAATCCTTTGTATGCTTTTCACACGGCCTTCTTAAAATTTTACTTGAAGTTGCTTGTTATTGATATTGATGAATGAAAAAACTATCATGTAAAACACTGTATTAAAAGTTTATGCCACTACTGTTATTACTTCCTTGATTCCTCAGCAGGGGAGCCCAATGAAGCAGTGACATCCTCTTCAGCTAAACCCTCCACCAGTGAGGAGGAATCTGAGGAAGAGAAAAGTTTTCAAAAGCAGAGAGTTTGCTATAAGGTATGATTTTAATTTTGCTATGTGCTCTGATCAGAACAGGAAATGTTATTTTTTCCTCTGGTGTTATTCCATTTTAGAGAGAATTTCAAGCAGGTAATTTTAATTAAAAAAAACTGTCTCTGCCATACAGCAGAAGCTCTTATGGGTTCCCAGGGTCAGCTTGATTTTTTTCAAATTAGGAGGGCTTAATGTTACTTAGCCTATACAAGTAATAATGACAATCTTGAGAATGAGATAATATCAAATATTGGTTTCAAGTGAGGCCTCAACATAAATGTTAATAGAGTGTTCGCAGTACATAAATGGAAACGTAGGTGGAATAGTAAGAATGTAGAGGATCCAGGTTGAACTAGTCTCAGTCAATTTATGACCACCAAAGAAGGACTTTTCCTTTGACTCTGGTGCTGAATACCACCCAATTTTTCAAACTATAAAGCACTTTTACCACCAGCATTCTTTTGCAGAATATAGCCGTCATAGGAATGCCACTTTAATAATTGACAATATTTGATATATTCTGTTGTTGGCCCATTTTGGCAAAGAAAAAGTTGGTTTTGTAATTTTTGTGTTGGCATTATCTTTGTGTATGGGAATCAAGTATTTGGTAGCCTTTTTTCCTTTGTTTGGACTCCTATATTTTTTCCCAAAGACTGCATTCTGGAAAAAAACACAACACATTAAATTTCTCAGCTTGATTCTTTTGCATTTTAAGCCCAATGGTAACCCAACTACCTGTTGGTTTGTGGATGTGCTACAAGATCTTTCACTCTCTAAGTTTGAGTTTACAGGACTTCCTGGTAGGAGTCATTATCAAAAGAGTGATAGCTCAAGTTGGTGCAGCTACAGATTTTTACTTATGTGGGTTGAATTTTTTTCCCAGACTCCATCAAGGGAAGGAGGTGAAGAGAGAGGATATGGTGGTGGGAGAGTAGACGACGACAAGTTTGGAGAAAATAATGATGGAGGTGATGGCAGAGGAAGCGATGGTGAAGGAGGGAGTGAAATCATGGAATGGGATGAAGGTGACCCTGGTGGCGGAGGAGATGATGATGATAGTGGTGGTGGTGGTGGTAGTAAAGGAGGTTCACGACTACCATCACCATATTATGAGCTGTTTTGGGCCTGTATGCTTCCACTGCTTTTGCCTCCTCAATCGCCATCATTCGATGACGAAGATGAAGAGGAGGATTTTGAAGAGGAAGAGTATGAGGAGTCTGAGGAGTCTGAAGAACCTGAGGAGTCTGAGGAGTCTGAAGAGTCTGAGGAGTCTGAGGAGTCTGAAGATGATCAAGGTGGAAACGAGAATTCAGTAACTTTTTTCAGTTTTTTTAGTACTACATTTACAAAAAAATAACAGGCACGTTGTTAGCTGTAATAACTCTTTCCAGCTGCTAGTTTGAATCGGTACTGGTGTACTGTTAATGGTGCGGTACCTATGTTGAAGAATGAAGCTTCTGTACACTTCATACTGAGAGTCAATTCCCAGCAATGACTGCCTTGTAATATAGCTGTATCCTGTATGAGAGTGGGTGAGAAACGCCCCTACTAGGAGACGTTTCTACGTTCTGGGCTAATTGTGTGCTTTTATGAACTTCGTCAAACCCCTATCTGTCCCTATCGTTTAGCCTCAATTACCAACCCTGTTCATGAACTGAGCCCGCGTACCACCATGGAATCGGGAGTTCTGTAGACTGGTTTGGAGAAGACGGTGGTAAACGAGAACACATACGCTTTGAACTATAATTAAAATATTAAACGTCTTTCGAAAAAGGTTGAGTTAATATACTCTCTGTTTAATCCTAACCTTCCCTTTTTTCCTGTCAGATCATGAAGAAGACGATCATCAGCAGAGAAACAGGGGGTGATGCATTGAGCCACCACGCTTCATGGTCATTGTTAGATTTCACCTGTATGTTAGCCAGCTGCTGTATGAGTAGGATTCCAGAATGTGTGTTATGTATTTCCTTTTTCCGTTAAGTTCAAAGTTAAGAAATCTAAGTTAAACTCTGTGTACTCTTCAATGGTAAAGATTTCTTAAGAGCAAAATTGTATCATTGTGAGTTCAATTTGATTATTCGCCTTTGCTGTTTAGGCAAAGCGATGTAGCCGGCCTGTAGGACTTTTTTTCCGCATGCTTGACTTTTATGATATACTACTCTTGCAAATAGTGAAACAAAAAATTAAGCTTTTTAAGAATACAGGCGTACAAGTCGCCAAATCGCCCCTGGTAGATGTTGTTTTCGTTAAATTATCAGCACACTTAATGTAGTTTGTGCGCTAATAATTCAATATGAAATGCATGAAAGATGGCTGCGTTTTTGCGTTGTAAACCTGTTTAACGACCTTTTGTTATGCTAAATTTGCCATGTATTTTAGTCACGGTTTAAAAAGTCGCACAGCATGCGAAAACCAACTTGACATACCACATTACAATAAACAATTGTAACTTTGATACGTTTTCCTGTGTTACGGGAAAATTTACTGATTTTTCCGTGTGGTTGTTTGGAACATTATTCGTAAACTTTTCACATTTAACCATTTCCAATTTATTCGAGTTCATTAAAGTTCTTTCATTCTATTAATTAAAAAAACATAAAAAACCACGGTAGCTTTTGAATGGTAAACTAAGAGATGTCTGCTTCGTTGCTTGCTTTCACTGTACACCTGCATGTCGGTACTATTGTTGTTCATTACTAGTGAAATTTTAGGTAAATATAAGTGTTAGAAGTCTTTCTGGAAAAAATTGGTTCTCATGGTAGTTAGCAGCTGAGTTTATACTCGTAACTTTAATTTCTTTTCATACGATAGGTTTCCACCCCAACCTTGCATAGATGAGCAGAAAATTTTAATTACTTTTCCACTTTTATTTCCCAAGCTTCTCTTCTGCAATTAAGATAGGTATATTTTCAATATTAGAGCTGTGAATTCTCACCTAAGTTTCCTATTTCTGATGGCCTCGAGTTTATTGTATCCGTCCTTTTCATTTTGAGATTCATAGAAACAGATGGAATATTTAAATAGTTTTCGTTTAACTTGAAAGATACTTTTCAAATATTGTGATTTGTGTAACAATAGCACCTCACACCATTTAGTTCATAAGCAAGTACCTTGTACAGTTTTTACGGTTACTAGTTTAGCTTTCACTCTGGCATGATGTATAAAATTTGCTGTGGATCCAAAACGCTGTCTCATTCTTTACGTCCGTATAAGCTCACTCGAAGTAGATCTCCGTGTATCAGGAAGTCGTGACGAGTTCCCGTTCTCGCAAGCCGAGTGGTCTCTACCGAGTTAATCCCCCCCCCCCCCGTGTTTTGTACGTTTCCCGCGAAGTCCTGTTTAGTGCGCGAAAACCTTATCGTCACACTTGTCACGTCTGCATTGATTTAATGAAATAATAGTGTACCATTTGCTTGTAAATGTGAGAACATCACAGGAACGTTTACAGGCTTCTCAAAATATAACGACGTTCAGCCCCAGCTCCAAACTTAGACTAGCGTGCGAGCAGGCCCTCCTTACGAGCCCTTCAATACGAGAGGCCTTGAGTAACACTAAGTTAAGAGAGGTTTGCAGGGGGTCCTGCGCGTGGAAATTTCTCATGGCGTGAAAAGAAAAAAGAAAGTTAGCAGAAGGTAGCCGTCAAGAAGAGTTTGAAGAATTTTTTCTCGACCAGGTGTCCGAAACAAATCGTCAACTCTCTAACGTTTAAATTGCCCTTCCTGAAAGGGAAGTATAATTCAGACGGATCGCTGGATTGTCATGGTTTACCATTATTCGCATGGGAGCAGTTGCGAGACAAAGAAGAGGCTATTTTTTGGTTTTTGTGGCGAGAAACAATTCTGAGAAGGTCGTTATCTAGAAGCTCTTAGATGAGGACGAGAAGGAAAAGCGTCTTTTGCTCAAAAAGCGAAAATACTCTCTGAACATATTGTTAAGTTTAAAGCTATGTGCATGGAACCGCCCTGTGTTTTAGGATTTGGGGTCATTTTCCGTCGTTCCGTTGTTCCGGCTTTTAGGGTCGTCCGTCCCCACCTTAGATAGAATTGTCTTAGCCAGACGTACTGTGATTATCAGTTCCAAGTTCAACTCCCTTTTTTCCCAAAAATGACGTAAAAGTTTTCCAATTGTATTTGTAGCTTAGAACGTTAAGAGTTCAGTGTTGGGTCTTACGTAGCCGATGTAGCACAATTATAAATCAGTAATAAAGTCTTGAGCCGTGCTTAAAAAGCTGCCCTGAAACAGTTTCAGGTGCGAATTAATTCCACTTTGGATTAATTTCGATGGATTTTGTGATACGATTGTTTAAAGGTGAGTCACTACTATACAAACAATATTCCTTTCAGAACCACTCTCCCTTGGACGTACTATTTCCAAAACGAGAGCGAGTGTTTCATCGGGGTATCCAAACACCGAGAAACAAATAAAAGTACGATGTGTTTGGATACCCCGATGAAACACGAAGCACGAATTTTGGAAATAACTTCTCATGATCACTTTTAAAGAAACAATAAATAAAGACTTCCAAAGACTTTATGGTGCGATTTTTTCAGTCAGGATGTATACTGCAACCAAGTCGCTCGGGAGATTTCGGCAGCCGAAAAGTGTGGAAGATGAGAAGAAAAGTGTTGATAATGCAATACCGAAATCAACAGCCTATAAAACCAAATGGTCGTGTAAGATTTTCGAAGAATGGAAACAGAATCGATTAGTGAAGTCCTGTACTTTGGAACCCGGCGGCCTTTTTACCACGAAATACTTTGAGGAAGGAGTACAAACTTTAGACACGGCCATTACAGATATGTCTGCATGCAGTGTGAACTACTGGCTGTCGAAGTTCGTTCAAGAAGTAAGCAACTCTCGAATATGTCAAGTTTAGTGATTCTGAGGTAAATGTTTTGGTAAATGGGCTTAAATAAGAAAATGAAGCATTGTAAAAGTAAGGTTACTTGTGAGTAATAAATATTCATTGATTTTGTGCAAGTTTTCATTGTGCCTATTTTAGTGGTATAGACCACTCTCACTGAAAAATTTTTGCAAGGTAGTCATCCACCACTTCTTCCCGCTTATATGATGTTACAGTGCTGGAAAAATCTCTTAGAGCTTGGCAGAAACTCGTGCAAATACTGCTTTCCTCTGATCATGCTTTTTTTATTTGTTGTTCTTTCTTACAGCTCAATATGTAGACGACCTCCCTGCTGAAGCTTTGTGCTAGTCCTTAGGATTTCAAGACTTTGCAGTCAAACCACTCAGCTATGCCTTGATCAATAGGGTTATAGACAATGAACAATTGTGGCCGATTTGTCAAACAAAAGTGCTTATATCATCAATTATTTTACTGCCTGGACTTTAAACTTTGTGCTTGAAGAATTTTGATCTAGTTACTCTTTGGATTGATTAGATTGCTTAGATATATGTGTTTGGAATTGTCTGATAAATAATTCTTAACAGCCCCCCTGACAGTACAGGTCATAACATGCATGTTCAACACCCTCGCACATGTCACAATTATGTAATATAAAGACTAAGATAAAGGAAGGTGCTTCGTAGTGAAGACTATCTATTTTTTCTTCACCATTTTCTTATCAGTTTTTGTGTGTCACCATCGCAATGCACTAGAAATTTAGTTTTGCATCACAAAAGAAAACCTCTGAAATGATTGTTAATGACCCAAGAAATGAAACAAGCCAATCGTCGGGAAGAGCATTTAGTCACGTGGATTCGCTAGAAAAACAAGTCAGGTACGGCGCGCAATTTAAAACTTTCAAGGTTTGCAATCACTTGACAGACAACATTCTTCGGCAGCACTTTTGGGCAATTCATATAACATGAAACAAAAAATGAGAAATTTCCCATCGCCTCAAAGAAGAAAACTGAGGGCAACAGGTTTGTGTATCAATTTCACAACACAATTTTACTTCGTGAAGAGCAACACTCATTCGGCCACGTGTCACAACTCAAGTGCGCACTGCATGGCTTCGGTTCAAACTGTTGAGGGCAAATAGTTTTTCGCTTGTTTAAGTGTTTGCTGGGAAATATTTTGAGGGGAAAACAGCTTTTCTGTACTATAATACGTGTAGCTTCTATTTTCTTCTGGTTTTGTTGTGCACAGACCTTGCCACGAAAAAGTAAACACAGCATTGGTTGGCGTGCTTGTTTGTGAATGTTAAAAGGGAAATAATACACCACCGGCAATTGAAACAAGTATTCAGAGAAGAAAACCTCTATTTTCAAGAATTGCTTTCAGTAACACCTATCTTGTAGAACAATGAAACGAAATTATACGACTTATATGATAATGAAATATATACATGTATTAACACATAATCAGCGAGACCTTCTTTCAAGATCCGAGATGTACCTGAAAGGTCCCGGAAATATATTTTCCCGAGGATGGTGACGGTTCCTTGTTGTTTTATAAACAAACTTAACTTTTACTTTGAAGGTTAAGAACAAATTAGTTCCTGAAGATATCTTTTCTTTGTGTGCGTTTTTTAGCTAATTATGACATACAATAACTCTCAAATGATACTGATTTAAATCCGCAAAGATTAATTCTTGTGGAAATTTCCATTCAATAAGCCAGAGAGAGAGAGAGAGAGAGAGAGAGAGAGAGAAAGAAACGCGCCTTAAACAGTTTTGATATTTAGGGGTAAGAAGACTTTCTTTAAATGCGTGTGCTAGTCAATTAGCAAAATAAAATAATTGAACAGATTTGTCTACCCAAAAGAAAAGGATAGTTTGAATTCCACAATGGAAATGTTCTGGAAATATCATCATCTAATAGCCATCCATAAATGTGTGTCCAGCCCTCTCTAGCATTTGCTGCGGCATGTTGTGTGTTTTAGTTTTTAATTTTTTAAACTTTTGGTCGGTCTTGCTTGTTTGTTCTTTCATTTATATTTATTTTTCTCTTCTCAGTTTCAATTTTACCTGGTCTTTGAGAAATGCGATCCATTTCAATTACGTGCGTGGTTAAGCTGCATCCTCTCTGTGCAAGACAAGATCTGATTTCAGAACCAGTTTGACTCTGATGGGGACATTTTAAGATATAGGGAATTGAAAATTGGGAAGAGGAGACCTTTCAAGGTTTCTCTTCTCCTCTTTCCAATTTCTTCTACATCTTACAATTTACTCTGATGTTCAGATGGGAAAGAGTCAGTAAGAAGACACTGATGGAAGACAAACACTCCAGGTCAGAAAGCTCCTTGTGGTTTGGGTGGAAGGGTTATTTTTAGTGCTCTGGATGAACCTTGCATCAAATTTCGGTAGAAGTCTGAGGACTTCATTCGGCTTAATTTAGAGTAGCTAGAATAGTTAGTGGGGTCCCTTTGGTGTGGGTGGTTCCTCCCCTTAGGTTTCCTTTGGGTTCCTTTTCAGGTACTTTCGGCTTAGGATTCGGTCTAAATTTCGGCATAATTTTCGGCATTTCCGTTCAAGTTTACGTCAAGACATCGTCAGCTTCTAGTGTGGTACAACTTCGACCATCATCAAGTTCTTTGTATCAACTCTTCGTCAGCGTTGCAACTTCCTGCTTAGCTGAGCAAGAAAAAATTTAATTTTCATTTGTTTCACCTGATGGCAGCAATTCCACTGACTGCGATCTGGTGGAACAATTTCGACCAAATTGTAACTAAAAATTATGTGATAAGCCATTTCGGTCAAGAAGGTTCAACCAGATATCTTAATTAATTTGAGAACTGGATTGCTTAAGCCATTCAACTGAGGAGTAAGCTCATTTGCTACTTCTATCATTTTTAGTGGTTTAGCTCCAGTTGAAGCCGCTTGTCGAGGCTTCAATTTAGTGAGGTTTAGGGGGCATGCATACACATATCAGTTTAGGTCACACAAAAAAAAAAAATAGGCCAATTGATTGTTACGCTATGACGGTTTAGAAGCTGTCAGGAAAAATTGTGGGCCAAATGGTCGCAGATGGAAAATCAACATCGTGGATTCCACAAAGACCTTCGAAGAAGGCAAATGTTAAACGAAACAATTATGGCCTTATGCTTGCTTTTCAATGATCATACTTTAAGCCAATTGGACAAGACAGTTAATCAGCCGTCAGCTAAATTTTGTCATCAAAAAACATGACAGATCAAACCACTGGGGATGTCCTCAAATATGCAGCAAACGAAGGCAGGTACGGCAACGCATAGATGACATCAGGTATGTGAAC